TAAAAATAGAGCTTGCTATTTGGTCTTTTCCTTCACCACCTCCAACCCAGTCGCGCGCGCATCTGGCCCCTTTTTTCGTCCAGATTCACTCTCTCCCCTAACTCCAAACCTACTAACTCTTATTCCTCTCTAACCATACCATTCAACTCGCCCGGGGCCAAAACCCYGGGATAACACCTTCGTTCGTTCGTTTTCATCAAGGAACGAACGAAATCAAGACTTCCTCCCTTTGTCCTTCTTMACTTCTGCCATAGCCTCACGCACAACTTTTCTCGCTAACCATCTATCTCACTAACTCTTTTKYTAATCTAACTTCAGATCCGGGGTCGCCCAACTGCAAAACCCCCGGGTCAACTCCTTCCCTACCCGGGACCACCCCCAAATGGCTGCGCTTTCACTTCCCTGCCGCTCTCGAGTCTGCAGCCCGCCATCGCCCGYGCACTACCTTTGCTACTAACCTCCCCACCTAGTACTCTAACACTAAAACTAACGTCAGATTCACAATCGCCTTATTGGAAAACCCCCAAATAGTTTCCTCCCCCGCCCGATTTCATCAAAAAACGGGCGGGTTCTACCATTTCCTCCCCGCCATCTTCCTTCTCCATCGTCGCTCCGCCATCCCAATTCCTGCAGGTACCCGGCCCAACTTCACGTCTGCATTCACTCCCCGTTTTCCTGCCCTCTCCACCTCAGCGCTCGTTGCTTCCACTGTCACCTGCCTCATCCCTCGACAGTCCGCCCGTCGTTTGCCACCCCCGCTACTAAGTGCACCTGGCGTGGTGCATCGTCCAGGTTCGTCTTCTAGTCCCTGCGCCCGCTGCTGTAGATCAGCCCATCGTTGCTCTGCGCGCTGCTCGCCACCTACCTCTTCCCTGATTGTCGGCGGCTCTACCTCCTATCACCCGCTGTCTCACGGCTGGCCCTGCACTGCCTTGCTCTCTCTGCTAGCGCGCATGCACCCGGCACCCCTCCTTTCCTACAGTCGCGGGGCATAGCACGCACTCCCCCGCCTATACTGCCGTAGCACCCTCACCCCCGGCATGCACCTGACCCCAGGCTCCGCCCCGACTCACTCGCTCCTTTCTGGCCCCGCTGCCCTACCGCTATCACGCTCTTGCTCCGCCTGTTGTAGCGCAATGCTGCTTAGCTGGCCCCGCAGCTTTGGCTTTTTCGCGTTTTAACTGTGTCATCCGTGCGCAGGCGCAATGCGAATCTTCTCTGTATCGTTCCAATTTTAACGGATGTCCCGAAGGACCCTACCGGGGTAATGCCCCGCGGCTCCCCCAAAGGCCAAGCGGCCTCAGCCTCTCCCTACTCCCTTCCGCTTCTCCTCTCCGCGCAAGTACCCGGCCCGGATCCGTACCGGGTCCGCCCCTATACCTGGGCCCCTACGGTTAGGCTGCACGACAGTGCTATAGCCGCCCCTGTCGTAATACCCCCGACTGCCTGGTACTGCCCAACTGGACCTACGCCCGTCGCTCACCATTAGAGGCATGAGCGCAAGCGTGACAGCCGCGTGGTCCCCCGTAGTACCATAAGGGGGTAAGTCTGGGGCAGTAACGAGGACAACTTGTGATCGCTCAACGGGCAATCCCGCGAACACAACACATCCCATGTGACCCTGCTGCCAGCCCGACATCGTGTCCTAAACGGGACGCGAGTGGAGCAAAAATAGACAGTAGAAAAAAGGATAAGAGTAATAAAAATAAAACGGGGAAGTTAACGGGGAGCCCTTCGGATCGGCTCCCTCCCTTCGTCGTGCCAGTAAACAAAAACGGAGGGGGATAGCCCAGTCGCGCCCTCGATCCCTCGGTCTTCTCCACACCGCTCCGTTGTAGCTGCTGCGCTCACGCCCGCTGGCCTCGACCCCTGAACCTTCGTAGCCGCAACCCGACACCGTAACCTATAGGGCTAAGCCCAAGCCTGAGACAAATATCCGCGGAGTGCCATATAAGGTGGCGCGGCACTGTGCTCAAGGCCAGGGAAATTAGCCTGAGCCTCACCTCAGCCTACAACCGTGCGCGCGGCCGCCTTGTGTCTGCGCCGACTTACCAAGCTGTATCACGGCCGCCACTCGCGCCACTCCGTGTGCCAAGACCCTACCGCAGTCACACTGTCGCCTTTACCGCCGCCATCGAAGTCGTCCTCCGTACGTACGCGTAACTCAAATCAATCGTACCGACCAGAGAAAAATATCCTTAAATCGTGCTTAATAAAAAATAAATAAATATTAATAACATCATTAACCAAAACGACCGATGTCCGCGCCGACTTTATGATCAACAATAGAAAAGAAATCACGCGCGCCTTAAACCTGCGCGCCCACGCACTCTTTACTTTAGTCAACCATCCGACGATCGTAACCACACAGACGCAGCCGCGCCTCACGCAAAATGCTTTTTTTTTAAACCAAAGCTATTTTCTGTCATTTGCAAAAACCAGGGCGGATACCCTTGTAAGGGTATTCGCGCCGACACCGCCCCTACGCTGTTATAACTGTAATCAGCCAGGCCACCTTGCAAAGGACTGTCCGAAGCCCAGACCTGAGGCTGGACCTTCCCAAATCCCGTTAGCCGCTCCTGCTGCTGCAGCACAAGGGAGGGTAGCCACGATAATGGATACTGGAACGACGAAGATGGTGGCCCCTGCGGCCGCCGAGATAGGACCCGATGAATATACGGCAGCAACGATGTTCGAACCCGGGACCATCGGGGTAATACGTCACGTCCAACGGATTACCGAGGAAAGCGACCTCGGGCCTTGGCGACGGGGGTTCGAAGATCTTACGGCGCCTGGCCCCGAGTATAAGGACGGCCATATAGATGTGCTGGACGCCTTGAAGGCTCTGGATCTACGGATCCCTGTCCCCATCCCCTATTTGCTAACCATTTCTGAAGCGTCTATTGAAAAATTGATAGAACGATGCCTCAAGAACCGGCGCCGGTTCGAGGAAAACCGAAAAAGCAAAAAGCCGGCTATTCGGGACTCACCTGCGGCCGAAGAGGCGCAACCCTCGACCTCGAGGGTTCATGAAGCGAATCGGGTAGGGATGATTCAGACCGTAGATCCTGCCCCAGAGAAACCTGAGGTATTTCTTCGAGCTTACCCCATAACCTGAAAAAGCGTTGAGTGTGAGTGCGAGGTATGGGGAAGCCCCTTGGCCGCCATCCTCGACCCGGGATCGTCATCTGTCGCTATCTCCGGGGGACTGACGAAACGACTGGGAAGGGAAGGACAAATTCAGCCTCTCCGTCCATATGAACTGTAGATATCCGCCACGGAATAAAACGTTTATTGTAAGGGGCGGATAACGAACGTACCTATACGGGTGGGGCGGGTGTCTTGTCTGTGCGACGCAATAGTATTGGACGTACAGGCGTATGATGTTCTGTTAGGCATTCTGTGGCAGGTGGCGGTTGGAGCGAGAATACACTTTGACAGCTGTAAGGTGGTGCTCACATCGGCCCACCCCAAACCTCATACGGTACCGATGAGACTGACCGTACGTATGCGCACTCAGCCGGCGCCTCGAATTGCCACGAAGGTCCATGAGATTAACATGATCCGATGCATGTGACCAGGCGAAAACGACATCTCGTCGAAAATCGATGGGACTGATGAACCCGACCGATATCCGATCCGAATTCAGGACCGGTGGCGCCACTCTTGGCGACGGGAGCCTATGGAAATTGTTCGGAGTGAGTCCAAATGGTCCCACGCGTTCTCCTCCATCGTGCAAGGAGAGCCCCTGCAGAGGGTGTCCCGAATAACTGACCTTTCAGAACCCCCTGCGTCCTTATACCTCCGAACAGACCCTCTACCCCAAAGATTCACAGAGCTCAGGGGGCTGTGCGACTTGTCTTTCCGACCGCCGCGGCCCCTACTTACGAACGCCAAGGCCGCCCTGCTCCTGAAGGAAGGGGTGTCGTTTCAACCCCGAACAAGGGAATATTGATGGGGACCGAGGGAACTGACGCAGGCCTTTTCTGTAGAACCTTCGGCCGAACCCGGACTTGAGAGTGACAATGACATGGAAAGTGAGCCGATAAGCCCAGCGGACAGTCAACTCATCGCGACTGTCCTCTCGGCAAAAACTGACAACTCCTTGTTTGGTGCCTCACTTGACGCCAGCGCGGCGGTCCCCACGGTTACGACAACGGTCCACCTTCCTGGGGGAACCGTAGAAGTTCAGCTACCACTGGCAGCCCGTGTTCCTGACGAATACAAACGCCTTCTCCTGGCAGTTATATGGGCCTATCCAGAGGCCGTCAGTATTCAGGACCAGGATATAGGGCTAACTCACTTGATCCAACACGCGATTGATACCGGGGATCATGCCCCGATACATTGCCGACCGTACCGCTATTCCCTTAAAGAAAGACAGTTGGCGTTGGAGAGGGTACGGGAACTCGAGCGGTTGGGGTGGGTCAAACCATCACCGGGACCATCATGGTCCTTTCCCGTGGTCCTCGTGCCAAGACGAAACGGTTCGATCCGGGTGTGTATCGACTACCGAAGGCTGAACGCTATCACTACCAAAGATGTTTATCCATTGCCGCGGATCGACGATTTATTAGATGCCATCGGATCCGCTCGAGTCTTTTCGAAGTTCGATATCCAACACGGTTTTCACCATGTCGCAGTCCGACCGGAGGACTGGCCAAAAACCGCTTTTGTCCTATTCGAGGGCACGTGGGAATGGATCCGGTGTCCCATGGGAATTTGTAACGCCCCCGCAATGTTCCAGTGGGCCATGAATATGGCCTTCGCCGAGTTCGTTAACAAAACCCGACTAACTCAGCCCCTGATCAATTTCTGTGTGATTGTGTATATGAATGATATTTTGGTATTTTCGAAAACGCATGAGTACCACGTGGAGCACATTGAGTGGGTTTTGCACGCACAGAAAGATGCGGGGTTCAAAGTGCTTTGGAGAAAAGCAAGTTCTTCCTGTCGGAGATCTCCTTCTTGGGATACATCGTCACGGTCGAGGGACTGAAGCCGGATCCGAGGAAGGTGGCAGCAGTTCAAAAAGCCCCCGCTCCGGTTACGCTCACCTAGGTTCAAGCCTTTTTAGGGATGGCTTTGTATTACCGACGCTTCATCAAAGGGTTCGCCGGTGTGGCGAAGCCCCTGACGAACCTATTGAAGAAAGAGGAGCAGCTGATTTGGACGCCGGAATGCGAAGCGGCTTTTCAGGCGTTGAAGGAGGCTCTGACATATGCGCCTGTGCTGGCGCATCCCGACCCGCCAATACCATTCGCACTTCACACCGATTTGGAGCCGCAGGCAATATCGGTCGTGCTGACTCAGCACAGGGCGGACGGCAGGGAGCACGTCATTGAGTATGCGTCAAAAACGCTGAGCCAGGCACAGTCTAATTATGAAGTGTGCAAAGGTGAATGCTTGGCGGTGGTGTGGGGGATTCAGCATTTCCGACCGTATCTTTACGGCCAGAAATTTGTGCTGGTAACGGATCATCAGCCGCTGCTGTTCCTACGCAACAACACGGATTACACGGGGATGCTGGGAAGGTGGGCGGTGCGCCTACAGGACTATGACTTCGACATTCGCCACCGTGCCACGTGGCAGCATGGGAACGCTGATGGATTGACGCGCCTCTTGCCGCCCATCAAGTGTCCCGCCAATGAGCGACTCATTCCGTGGAAGCTGGAAGCCACTCCGACGGAACCGCGCTATGGGGAACTGCACGCGCTGTGCAAGGACGATGCCTGAGTCCAGAATGGAGGTCTCGCCGGAGGGGGCGGATGCCATCTCTTTGCCCTCGTCCAGTTCTCTTGCTCCCTCGGCTAGTCCCAACTCCTCTGAACCATATCTAAGTTCTTGTTTCTTCTGTACTTTGCCGATGGTCCCGGATCGAGAAGGGTCACACCCGGGAGGGCCCAGTTTCGTCCTGTGGGTGCAGTGTAGTCAGTGTCGAGCAGTCAAATCTCACGGACAATGCGTTAGGTACCGAACTGAAAAGACATGGGTCTGTCCCAACTGTAGAACCGACCAGGTCCCTACCGAGAAGCGGTATCTAGACGCGCGGACTGCCGACGGATTTGCGGCAACTGCCCGACGGGCAGAAGTCTGGACGAACCTCCTGTTACTGAGGAGACTGACAGGCGACTCGCTGACCGAGCTTACCAAAGCCGAACGGCGGCGAGTCATAGAGCGGGCGCAGGATTATCGCTGGCAGGAATCGACGTTACAAAAACAAAAGGTCGATGAGGACAGAGAGTCTAGCTGGTTGACGGTTCCGCATCCTTTCGCTAGGTTCGATTGGACACGAGCAGGTCATGAAGAGGATGCGGTCCACTTCGCGGTCAAATACACGGAAAAAGCCGTCGAAAAGAATGGATGGTACTGGTCCGGAAGATGTGAAATACGTCGTCCAGAATTGCCCGGCCTGTGCGGCGGATAAGGCGCCGGTACAAATGCCTTGGACGATGGTGCCTACTCGAGTAGAGCGCCCCTTTCAGCGGGTCAGTATCGATACGACGGATATCAATGTTCTGAGAGGTCCCGTCGATCAGGGAGAGCTTAATGTCCTTCTGGTAGCCGTCGATCATTTTTCCAAGTGGATCGAGGCCTACCCGATGACTAGCCGTAACTCGGTGGAGGTAGCCTGGTACATAAACCGGTTTTTGTGCATGCACCTAGACGTAGAAGAGGTACACATGGACAACGGGTCTGAATTTCAAGGCGAAGTGGAACGTCACCTAGTAAGGGCTGACGTTAGGATTATCTACTCGCCGGGGCACTGGCCCCAAGCCAATGGCCTGGTAGAGAACGCCAATCGATTGATTAAGACCGCCCTTAGACGGAATATCACCGCAGGAGACACCTGGCCCTAGCCTGTCATTATCGATCACATTCTGGCCGTCTATCGGGCTACCCCACACGGTAGTACCGGGGTGTCCCCCTTCCAGGTGAGAACCAATAGTGTCCCTCGGGTGCAGTTGTCCCCCTTAGTAGGTACGGAAGTTAGAGCAACACGGGCCCAGCACAGAGATAAGGCCCGCCACTACATGGACTTAATGGCTAGGGCCTATCCCCCGTTAGCCCGCCGACGACAGAGGGCCGTAGATCGGACACATCAACGGCAGATCCGTGATTACGAGAATCGGCATGCATCGGCGGGACCACTGCCTCGTTATAAAGTTGGGGATTTGGTACAGGTACGGAAATTCGGGCGCTCCTCCAAGATCCACCCGCGCTATACAGGTGTTTACGAGGTAACGGAAGTTGGCGCACGAGGACAACACTCCGTGAAGCTGGTCCCCCGGCATAGCACACAGGCCAGGTCGCTTACGTGACACGCGGCGGCTCTTCGACCGTTTCAGCCATCTTTGGGCCGTGAATCGGCCCTTGCCCTGTCCGAGCCTTCGTCCTCTCTCTCCCCCTCTCCTTCTTCGTCTTCTTCCTCTTCCCGATCTGCCTCGTCCCTTGGTGCTGAGAATCTCAGGGAGCAGGATGAACCATCACCAGCCGAAGCATGAGCCCCTCGAGCACGTCCAGACGCCGCTTGCCGTCGCTTGTTGCGGCACCAGTTCAATGAGGAAAGGCAGCTACGATACGACATTCAGCAGGTGAACGTGCCAGCGCCCAGGGTTGTCGATCTGGCTGCATACTCGTTGCTTTGTGATCGGCTGACGTATGCGGGGGTATACGTGGATGTGACGCAGTTGCCAGGGCGGGAGAAGACTCGAGTGTTCATAGAGTTCCACGCGCTCCAGGTGGCACCTAACTTCGTGCACAACGTCGCCACCTTTATTGGAGACTTAACGATCCTGCCGCAGCCGAATCGGGAGCCGACGCGAAGCTTTGTGCGTGAATACGCGGTGCAGGCGGCGAGATCAGTGGCCAGAGTGCAAGGACGAGGAGGACACCGATTCACAGCCCACGAAGCACTGTTACACAGGGCAGAGGACGGACCAATTGCGTTGGTGCCACAACTCCCGGCGCTTCTTCCTCCCGCCGCCCCTCTCAACATCCAGGCTATTCTCCATGCCCCGTACTAAATGCCTCCCTTTTTCTCTTACACCACTCTCCCCTATCAACTCACGGAGGGCCCTTATCCTATGCGCAAGTTCTCGGAATATTTGGTGGAGCTGACTGACGTGGAGCCGCTGCCCTTCTCAGACGAATACGCATGGGAGTTGCACCGCGCGCTATATAAGTCGGTGGTGTTGGGGATGTTCCGATTCTTCGTGGATCACGAAGACCACTCAATCGGGGAGCACTTCGTCGTTTATAACGCCATCACGCAGCCCAAGCCAGCGCAGAAGGAGGGGAGTGTGGCGTTGTACCCCTTTGCCCGGTTCCAGACGACCGATCCGGGATTGTTGAAGCTCATACATCTTGAGCTCCTGTATGAGCTCCTATCCATTGCGCAAGTGATCGCGAGCGAGGAAGAGGAGATCCAGCCACGATTGCGGACGGCGGCTGCCCCGCAGAGAATGTACAACGCGGTCGTCATCCCAGATTTCATTGTGCAGCGCAAGGAGAGGTTGGAGGACTTCCCTGAGGAAAAGTCGCTGCGACCTCCCTCATCGTATCCCTGACCTGCGCTGCCAAAGGCCTCCAAGACGATGCCGAAGAGGAAGAGACGCCACCCATCACCAGGAGCGCAAGGTAGCCGAATCGGTGGCTGCGAGGAGGTGGTTCAGCCCGTGCACGCGCGGAATCCCGACCCTGTGCCTGAGAGTGCGGCGACGCTGGTTAAGGAGACTGTCGTGCCATCGCCGTCCCTCCCGCACGTGCCCGATCTCAATCTCGATGGAGTCGGGCCATCAGCCGCAGCAGCCGGAGGAGGAAGCCGAATGGGATTACCGGATCCCGTACCCAGACCCCCCGTCCTCGCGGGACCTTTCCGCTTCCGCCTGCCACCCCGGAGTGCCCCGATCATTGACATTAGCAGTTCCTCCGAGCCGGATAGTCCATCCAACAGAGGTGGATTTCATGGTGGAGCCCACCACCATCAGGCTCGAGGCCATTGTGGGGGTGCCGCGCCCTGATCCGGCGTGGGAGCCATATCTGACACCCCCTTTTCAAGGGTGTATTGCGGCGCGGCTGGCGGGGACGCTCATCTACGAGACCGGGCAGCGTCCCAATGTGATGTATCACTTCCTTGTCTTCGCGGCGCAGAAGCGGGAGCGACAGCCCTACACCGAGACTCATCTGGTGATGACGGGTCCCGGACCACGATTGGTGCGCAAAGGGGTGGTGCGAGCGGTGGCGGATCTGGCGCCCCGTGTCCTGTCTCAAATACCGGGGGCCTTCCTCTATCCCTCGTTCGTCCAACACCACTTCCATGAGGAGGACGCGCCGATGACTCCCGCGGCAATGACCGCCTTCCTTCCACCTATTCTTCCCCCT